AAGAGACGGAAGACTGCTTCATAATTGATGAAAATAATTCCAATTTCTTGTGCAAATAATTCATTAATAATTGTGCAAGGAATTTGAGAATTAAACACGTATCGTCAATTTCTCAGTGATGTCGTTTAAACTTTATTGGTTCAATTTCAACATTATGTTAGGCTAGATTATTTTTGTGCTAGAATTACGATGAACCTTGTATTATGAAATTTTAATTTTTGATTTTTTTTCTATAATTATATGCACAATAGTTGTACAAGTTTGTGACTTGTTTTACATTTGAAAGATTGAAAATAAGTTAGACATAATATCAATTGTCATAAAGTTCAATAGGAGATAAAAATAAACCGCTATACTCTATGTGATCTTCAAGTATTCATAAATCTTTAATACATTTTTATATGTTCGCATATGTCATAAAAATATAGTCGGTAAGAATATATTTAATTTTACTCGAAAAATATTGTTAAACAAATTATGAATATGATCTTCATACTTGAATTGTGTTGTTGAATTCACATGGTTCGAGTTTAGAGGAGATTGATATAAGGAGATTCGGGATCCTAGTACGCTTTTTATCATCATATTTTTACAAAACTTTTATAAATTATAATCTTGTCTTTATTTTAGTTAAGTTAGACTTGACATTTATAAGTATATTATTTAATTTATAGGAAAAATCACAAATTTCAATTGTTTCGATTAAGGCTAAATTAATTCGAATTTGAATTAGAACAATCTCTGTGGTACGATGCTTGAATTCAAAATCCAGTTTACTACTTGTCAATGAATCGTGCACTTACGATATTTTACACGAACAATATTTTCGTGAACATTAACCATTAGGGGAATCAAGGCTTTCCACTCGCTAGATTCGTGCCTTTATATACAGAAAACCTAGGGACGCCTATCCATTCCGAATATAACCCTTTTTAAAAGACGTGTCATCGAGTAAAGCACCTATATATATAGATATCCCACCCCTGAAGAAAAAAATTAGATACAATCTTAATACCAAAAACTTTTCATATTCTTTACATTTCCATTTAATATCCTATTTTGCAGGTCCAAACCGCAACAAGTAGCCATCAAAAAGCATAAAGCAAAGAAGTATCCAAAGAAAGAAGATTATTCGAATTCGAAACTTCGAATCAGACTACTTTTAAGAGGAACCAAACTCTTGAATAGACTCAGTAGGGACTAGAAGCCTCTCAAGTCATTAAAAATCCTTTCAGTATTATCCTACAAATTTAAATAAATCAATAAAAAGAAGAAAGACAAAATTGAAGAAAGTTGTATTATATATACAAGTTTTATATAACTAAATTTTTGTGATCAAAAGTGAAGATTCTGCTGCATGTCCTTTTAACTTTATTTGATACCTGAAATTATCAGTGTATTCCAATTGTGCATTTAAGTCTCCAAATTTGTTTTCTTTGTAAAAAACATTGGATACCCACGTGTTGATGTACATTGCCAAAATGAAAAATAAAATAAAAATTGAGACTCGATGAGCTTACTCTTTTTTCTTTGGTAGGGGCGGTGGTTGTGGTGCGAGGGTAGGGTTTGGTTTATGAGAATTATTTTTGTTTTTAGTTTTGATTTTTAATTATTTGTTTGAGACTCATTTGTAATTTTTGAGAAATTGGAGCCTATGGGTTGCAATTAGTTCTTTATTGTTTTCTCCTTTACTTTTTATTTTATTTAAATAAGAGGGTAAATTTGTCATTTCACATAGAAAATGGATGAAAATTGAGGAAAATGCTGTTTTCTGCAAGAAAACGTGGAAATTGAGGTGAAAATGCGAAAAATTGAAACGTCGGAATGTTTTGCACACTAAAGATCAAACGTATGGACGTTTTGTGCTAATAAGCCATAATGACCATGTAAATACTAGTTATTAGAATTTAACATTCAAATAGAAGAAAAAAAAAGCACGCCTTCCGAAATTATTAAAAAATTGAATTTTTTTTTTTTTTTAATATAGTCAATGCTACTTAATAAAATGCCATATTAAACATTTTAAGTAGTTGGAATTAATTTGGTGACAAGTCATTGCATTGATGATAAAAAAAAGATCATAATATTGATTAATGTCCTACCAAATATGTTATGTGTGAGCAATATTTTTTTATTTTTCATTATGAGAGGTTTTGAATGGACCCCTACCAATCTGTTAAGAATAAAACATAAAACCTAACTTAACGTGTAAAGGGTTAAAAATGACGATGCATGAGATGTTGTCTTGTATATAAAATCAAACAATTATATTTATAGAATAATGCTAAGTGTACACAATTTTTTACACACACCTCACATGGAGGGAGGCCCACACATAATAAAATAATCGTGGACCCTCCTCCATATGAGAGAGGTGTAAAAGATTGTGTAAAAGTGTGTGTGTACATGTAGCATTACCCATATTTATAACACACATTCCAACTAGTAAAATGATCATCTTGCAGTAATTTTAATAAAATTATTACATTCCAACTAGTAATTTGATCATCTTGCAGTAATTTGAAAGTGAATGTAACAAATTTTGGTTGAAAAATAGTTTTCAGTTAATTTTATTACATAAAAAAAACACACGACACAACTTCCTTTTATCAGTTCATTTTAGGGATAATTGCAGAAATGATCCCAAATATTTGGATTTTTCTCAAAGTTTACCTTAACCTCCACTTTGTATTAACCACTGTTTCAAACCTTTCAAAAATTAACACATGGGGTCCACACCACTACAACTCCTCTCACCCTAACCAACCAACCACCCTAATTAGGTAGTCCCATGGAAGGGGCTTCAACAGACTCGAGTGGTGGTCAGTAATCCAATGCGAGTAAGGGATAATTACAACTTTTCAATTCCAATTTTAACACAACAATGGCAAAAGATGAGACAATTTCACTTATTCAATCATTATTTTTTGATTTCTATTTAATCTCGAACTTTTAGCCATTTTTTGCTGAGAATTCATGGTGGCTATCGTTAGCCAAAGCTACTGCCATTTTGCGCAAAGTTTCGACTTCCATTTTGATGATGTTGATGGGGGGTTTGAAGTGGTATTAATGGAGAATTTGATGATGTTTATGGGTGGTGGTTGAAGGCAAGGGACTTGGGCAGTGCCTGTAAGACAGGGGAATGGTGGTGGTCTTGGTCGATGGTTTTAGGCGATGGCTGGAAAAAGATAATGGCTTTGGTCAATAGTTGAAGGCAGGGGATGAGGGGGAAACAAAAAGCTTCATTTTTTCAGTAAAAGCATAATTGAAGTAATATGAGAAATGGTTTTATTGGAGTGCAAGGAAGAGGAGGGAAGAGAGGGCGGTGGTGGTGGTGGTGGGGTGACAGGGATGAGTAAAACAAGACTAACTGGTTTTGGGTTTAGGATGAGGTGGGGTGTGGGGGTGAGTGTGGGAACGAGAAGATGAATATCGTTTATGTTTTAATTTTTAATTCAAAGTTATCATTTTATCCTTTTAAAAATAGTTTGGATTAAGTCAAAGTTAAATTTATTGGGTCAACTAATGGTCAAGCTAACATAATTCATCCATTTGGATTCCAATTGTTAATTTTTGAAAGGTTTGGGACTATATATGGTACAAAGTGAAGATTATTGTAAAGTCCGCAAAACACTCAAATGTTTGGGATCGCTGCTGCAATTATCCCTTAATTTTATAAATGTTAATTTAGTTAAGATTGTTTATATATAAACTAAAATTATAATTTCAATTACACGGAGGGACAATCCGTGCAAATGGTGCCCACGTAAATTTAAGGTTTTTGCCCACTCTCGCATTAACACGAATCTAAAAATACTCATTTACGTGCCTCTGAGGCATAGTTTAGTGGTGCAAATGACATGAGTGAGGTTACAGCCGTAGTGTGAGGATTCGATTCCAGCCGTAGTATGTAATTGAAATCTTTGTGGGCACCCGTATGACGGCTCTTGTATCCCGACCTGCTGAGACATATCCCGCGATTTACCTTCCTATAATGCTATGAGGGCGAGACGATGAGGGACACTTAAGGTTGTGGTTCAATCTTTAAAAATACTCATTTATGTGAATCAAAACTTCAATTATTAACATTTATTTGTTCACATTTCACATTTATATGACAATAAATATTTACCCTATTTAAAATTATAGATACTAAAATGGTATTTAACTTTTATTTATGCTCATAATTATATATGTAATTTTTTGACCGTATTCTCATTTTCAACTTTGTTTAATTTGCATAATTTATCACTAATGATAAATTATGTCCAAAATTCTTAGAGCATCTCTATTTTTAAAGAGCATGTTTTATAATTTAGAGAGTAAAAATTTGAAGTACTCTAACATATTCTTTATATTTAACACTTAATTTTATTATTTCCAAATACTATTTATTGTTTTTCCTAAATTTTATTTTTATTAGCTTCCTTCCAAAATATTATATTATTTTCCTCACATAAATTGAAATACTTCGAATGCATTAAATTATAACAAGTGAGTTTGGCTTTCCAAACTCATTCTATAAATTAAAATGTTATTGAAGTATAATTTTAAGGGTTGACAATTTAAAATAAAAAAAATCTTTTATTTAAACTTAAAGATTCGAGATATTCTTATTATCCATTGTATTTTTAAATAAGAAAATGAAAATCACTGATAATGTGTACAATTTCCGCTTATTAACACAACGGAATATTCCCTATTCCCCCTAAAAGTATTGTTAATCCCTCAGATTTCCCCCGAAATTTTCTAAGCCACACGATCTATTAGTCCGATCCATATCCCCCTACACCACTCGCGTCGCGTGTGCCAGCAATTCTCTTAAAAGCCGCATAAAACGCACAGCATAAATTCGCCTTCTTCACTTCTCTCACGATCTACTTACTATCTATTCAACACAGCTTCTTCCCATTTCTTTCAAAAAATTCCTATAGGTGTAGTCAATGGCCGTGGAAACTATACTTCCAGATCTCGGAACGGAGATTCTGATTCCGTTTTGCGCCGTCGTCGGAATTGCCTTCGCGCTAGTCCAGTGGCTGTTCGTGTCCAAGGTTAAGGTTCTCCCCGAGATATCGAACTCCGCCGATGGAAAATACTTCACTGATTCACTCCTTGAGGAAGAGGAAGGCATCAATGACCACTCTATAGTTCATAAGTGCGCCGAAATCCAAACGGCCATTAGTGAAGGTATATTTCTATTACGTGCACGAGTTTAGACATACGTTTTATGATATGGAATTTGATTAATTTGGTTTTGAAGACGTGAATCTGTTGTGGTTTCTATTATGGATCTTGCAGAATCATGTATCTGTGTGTATGAGTATGTATTGAATTCGTAATTCTTATGTGTAATTCAGTTCCGGTGGCTTAGTTTTTTTCTTTACTGTTCATAACCCGTAACATATAGTTGTGCATTCTTAATTCCAATATCAACAAAGAGTGTCTTTTTTTCGCTTCTTTCAGCTCAGTTTTAATCCATATGCAACTATACTCTCTCTCTCTCTCTCACGCATACACAGATAGAGAAAGACGTATTTCTGTGTGAAGACTCAAAATGCGTGTGAGAGTATATGTTTTCCGCTGTTTTTCTTTCTATTATCTTCATTACTTTCTCCTCTGGTTGAAGGAGGAAATGTGTGAACATTTGGTTTTCTGTATTTTATAATTCTTATTATTGCTTTGCAAAAAAATAAAGTGCTGATTTCTCGGCTTTCATTTTTACCGAGGCAGTGTGATTGAGGATTCCGTAGATATTGCTTCTTTTGTTGTTATTTCATAGTTCAATGTTTTACACTTTCTCCTTTGACACGTGTGCAGAGGCCCAAAATTCTTATTAGTATTAGCGACAAAATGTTGACGCGATTATTAGTTCTTTTCTTTTATATTTTTTTTGGTGACTCCGCGGCAATTGTCATTTTCTTTATGGTTGATCTGAGGAGAAATTTTTATCTCTATTTACCTGGCAAGTTGGTGTAATTATTGCTATGTTTAACCATTGGCACCTGTGTCGGTGCGTCGTTCTAAATTTAGTATTAGGTTTGGCATAAGATTACAGTTGTGGGCCTATCTTCATCAACATTCCATCATTTGATTTCATCTTTGTTGCTCTCTTATAATAGATTGGATCCGGGACAACTAGATTATTTGAAGTGGTTCACCTGAGGGACTTTGTATTCTGAAAGAAAACCAAACCAAAAAAATGACTAAAAGGCCTAGTATTTCGAGTGATGTGATTTCTTTAGTGATGACTCCAGTTATGATAATGATTTTTTTTCCTGCAGCCTACTTAAGAAGATTGATTTGTAATTTTAAATTGAGATGAGATGACTATGCTAATTTTTTAGGCTAAAGGATAAGCATTTAATTGCTGTTTTGTTCTTAAATCTTCTTCCTCCTAAAGACCCCCACTTGAAGGGACTTCTATCAATTTTCAAGAAGAAAATCATTGAAGCGTTTGCTATTTATGCAACTCAACAAAGGCTGATCAAATACTAAGCTACAGCTTCTTATCCCCACCCCTGGGAGGGAAAAGAAGAAGAAGAAGATGATGATGATGATAATTTTAATGAATAGTTAGATTTGTCCAACAATGTGGTTCTTGAGTAGCTGCAATTCTATTTTCTGATGGTGACAGTCTGAAGTTGTGGAGCATCAGTGAATGATGCATATTTGCTTGCTGTTCTTTCTCTTTTTGGTTTTAAATTCGAGTTTCTTTATGCTTTAGGAAATTATAATATTGACCTCTTTTGGTAGCATATATTGTTTGAATTTTAAAGAATAGAGTACACCAATAATTACCTGTTCATCAATTAAAATCTCCAAGTCTTAAACCTTTTTTGATGAGCTAGTTATGACTTGTGCTATGTCACAGGTGCAACATCATTCCTTTTTACTATGTATCGGTATGTTGGTATTTTCATGGTTGCTTTTGCTGTGCTGATCTTCGTCTTCCTTGGCTCTGTGGAGGGATTCAGCACAAAGATGCAATCTTGTACATATGACAGCACCAAATTGTGCAAACCCGCTCTTGCCACTGCCGGTTTTAGCACCATATCCTTCATACTTGGTGCCATTACATCTGTGGTTTCTGGCTTTCTTGGAATGAAAATTGCCACCTATGCCAATGCCCGAACTACTTTAGAGGCTAGGAAGGGTGTTGGAAAGGCTTTTATCGTTGCATTTAGATCTGGTGCAGTCATGGGATTCCTCCTTGCTGCAAATGGTCTTCTGGTGTTGTACATTGTCATCAACCTGTTCAAATTATACTATGGTGATGACTGGGAAGGCCTATTTGAGGCAATAACTGGTTATGGACTTGGTGGATCTTCAATGGCTCTTTTCGGCAGAGTTGGTGGAGGTATTTATACAAAAGCTGCTGATGTAGGAGCTGATCTAGTGGGCAAGGTGGAAAGGAACATCCCAGAGGATGACCCAAGAAATCCAGCGGTATAGATACCGTTACATTGGGCTGCCAAAAATTTCTTAAAATTATTTGCTTCTTGCATTTTCAACTTATTTTTGATGATATTTCAGGTCATTGCAGACAATGTTGGTGACAATGTTGGGGATATTGCTGGTATGGGGTCTGATCTCTTTGGTTCGTATGCTGAATCATCCTGTGCAGCCCTTGTTGTTGCTTCAATATCCTCTTTCGGGATCAATCACGAGTTTACTGCTATGCTTTATCCTCTTCTAATCAGCTCCGTTGGAATCCTTGTTTGTTTGCTCACCACCTTGTTTGCAACTGATTTCTTTGAGGTCCGGAATGTTAAAGAAATTGAACCAGCATTGAAGAAGCAACTTATTATCTCCACGGCATTGATGACGGTCGGAATTGCACTTGTGAGCTGGATTGCACTTCCATCCTCCTTCACTATATTTAATTTTGGAGTCCAAAAGGAGGTTAAAAACTGGTAAGTTCTGCATGTTCGTTTGTGATGTATCACAACTTTTTTTTTTTTTTGCATTTGATTAGTCCAATAATCCTTGCTCTCATTATAGGTTAACATTTAGATATAGTGACCTAAATTATCCCTTTAAAAGTACCTTCATGTCCTTAGTAATTAAGTGCATTAAAGTTGCAAAATATTTTTTTATCCCTTTGGCTGAAAAATATTGTAATGTTCAATTATATCATTTTCTGTCTCTACATGTGCACGCGCATAGTGGAATATGCATAGATGCATATATTTATGTCTTTTTCGTGTTCTTTTTCCTCAAATTTCAATCAGCAAATGATTCTCAACTTGCAGGCAACTGTTCCTATGCGTTGCTGTTGGTTTGTGGGCTGGGCTTATTATAGGATTTGTTACGGAGTACTATACAAGCAATGCTTATAGGTAAGTTTCTGGACAGGTTGTATATTTCATTGGAAGTATGTTGTGCATATTAACAAGTTTTAGCTCATTTCTCTTAATTATTGTCAGCCCCGTGAAAGATGTTGCTGATTCCTGTCGTACTGGAGCAGCTACCAACGTCATTTTTGGGCTTGCATTGGGATACAAATCTGTCATCATTCCAATTTTTGCCATAGCAATTAGCATTTTTGTCAGTTTTACTTTCGCTGCAATGTATGGTATTGCAGTAGCTGCCCTCGGTATGCTGAGTACCATTGCCACTGGTTTGGCTATTGATGCCTACGGTCCCATCAGTGACAATGCTGGGGGTATCGCCGAGATGGCAGGCATGAGTCACAGAATTCGAGAGAGAACTGATGCCCTTGATGCTGCTGGAAACACCACTGCAGCTATTGGAAAGGTATATAATTTGTAGCTTCAGGAAATTTTACCGCTTTCGACAAATTTTGTCCTATCGCCAAAGCATGCACGTGGAGAACGTTTGTCTGCATGCACGTTCATGTATTAGTATTGGACTTAGTGCTACTAACAAAGAGGTAGAAGCTTCCGGTATTAACATTTGGTACTCTTGCAATTAACTTCCTTTAGGAGTGTTTGGTGGCGAATGAGCCACTCCTACAAGCTACTACCACTAGTCCATTTCTGTGATATATTCTTGTTCTATACTCAAGCCACTTCAGTCTTCAGAGCTACAGAATACTTCCGTGTGTCAGTAGGCAGAGTCTTATTGATATTATCATCTTTAACAAAATATTCTTCCTCACATTTCAGGGATTTGCAATTGGGTCTGCTGCCCTCGTGTCCCTTGCCCTCTTTGGTGCCTTTGTGAGCCGTGCGGCCATTTCAACTGTAGACGTCTTAACTCCAAAAGTATTTATTGGTTTGATTGTGGGAGCTATGCTTCCTTACTGGTTCTCGGCCATGACAATGAAGAGTGTGGGCAGTGCCGCTCTTAAGATGGTTGAAGAAGTGCGCAGACAATTTAACACCATCCCTGGTCTCATGGAAGGCACTGCCAAGCCCGACTATGCCACTTGCGTCAAGATTTCCACAGATGCCTCTATTAAGGAAATGCTTCCTCCAGGTGCTCTTGTCATGCTCACTCCACTCATTGTTGGCATTTTCTTTGGTGTGGAAACTCTATCTGGTGTCCTTGCCGGTTCCCTTGTCTCAGGTGTGCAGGTAATGTTATGGAATTTGCTATATCGACTTGCGATTCCCTAATTTGTAGGTGGAAATTAAGATTTATTGTCTATGCACTAAATTTTGATTTCGCCGCACTGAAATATCGCAATTAATATCATGACACCTCTCATATGAATGCCTGCAGTACTTAAATAAGACTGGTTCAGATATCATACTGTATTTTAGACAATAAATTTCCGTGCGTCTATTTTGAGTTTCTCTGGGATGTGATCTGACAGTTTGTTCTTGCTGTTTTACTTGCGCAGATTGCAATCTCTGCATCCAACACTGGTGGTGCTTGGGATAATGCCAAAAAATACATTGAGGTAATTTTTCTACAACACGTGAAAATTAGAATAAATTGTTTAGATTTGTGACTAGGGGTGGATATGGTTCCATTTGGTTCTGATTTCAAGAGAATCGAATCGAATCGAATCGATCCATGAACCAATGATTTTTATTTTTTTTAAGATATGGAACCGAAACGGAATCGAACCATTTGGTTCGGTTTGGTGTGGTTTGGTTTTAGTTATATTATTTAAATTTTCAAATGATAAATGCATATTAAAATTTATCACCTTATTCATAAGTTCGTAAAATATACATAAATAAAAAAAATAAACATCAAACATTGAGCAATGTAATGATAACTGTGGTATAAGAGTGCGAGTGTGTCTAAACTTGAAAATAAGAGACTAAATTAGAATTTAGATCTAGGGCTTGGCTCCTTGGTTTGATAGGTGATAAGGTAAAATGTAATGGTGAGTAACATTTTTTGTCCATTTCACACTCGTAATTTTTAAAGTTGGATTTTTTTGGTGTGATTCACTGATTTATAAAAAGAAAAAATATATAAAAAAATAATAAAAGTTGAGATCGATTCTTGGTTCTTGGTCTTGGTTCTAGAACAAGAATCAGAACCAAATGGTTCCCAATTCTAAATACCAAAACTATTAATATTTTTTTTGTATAACCGAATAGAACTGAACCTTTCGGTTTAGTATGGTCATTTTGTCGACCCCTATTTGTAACATTTTGAGCTGTTGATTTTGGGTCAATAGGCTGGTGCCTCGGAACATGCAAAGACTCTGGGTCCGAAAGGATCTGATGCCCACAAGGCAGCTGTGATTGGAGACACAGTTGGTGACCCTCTGAAGGACACATCTGGACCGTCTCTGAACATTCTCATCAAATTGATGGCTGTGGAGTCGCTTGTGTTTGCCCCGTTCTTTGCTACACATGGTGGCTTGCTCTTTAAAATTTTTTAAAATGAGAACAAAATGTCCTGTACCTTTACCTCCCCCTCACATTTTCTGATTCGCTGAAGTTTAATTTTCTGTGTTGTTTCTACAAGTTTAACCTATGTAAGAATTAGGTTTTTGAAGAAATTTTCCATGTGGGGCTAGTGATTAATCTTGTCAAGGGACATCATTTATATATTTTTTTCCATTCCTTTTTCTTTTCCCGAGTAAATCTGTGCATGTTGGGAAAATTGAGCTGGAGGTTCTCAATGTGTATAATCGTGTTTTTAATAATAATAATAAAATTGAATTCTTTAATATCAATATAGATGAAATTGGTGCACTCGAGATCAATGGGCTACAAATGTGAAAAAAATAAAGGTTGAACATCTATCTGTACAAATTAGTTAGTTTGGAAGTTCTGCTACAATTTCCCCGTTTTCAATTTTAGGAACGTCAAATTAATAAAATAAAATGACTTTGAAGACACTCATTGTTATAAAGTAAAGATAGGAAGGAAAAATACTTTTTGCTTCAATTTATTCAATGAGCATTGGCCTTTATATAAGCATTATTACATCAACAGAATGACTGAAAAAAATATAGCGACAACTAACGTGCTATCTTGTACACACATTAAAACAATAATCAACTCCTGTTTGAATCACATTAAAATTTTTATTCTCATTCTTCTACTCATATTCAATCACACATTATTCAATAAATTAGTTTAGGAATTAATTTGCAATGCCTTTCCTAAAGCAACCTTAACTTCCTTTGAAGAACGAATTCCAAGCATACTTCGAAGTTTCATAAAAACAATTGACTTAAGTGGTTTAGTTAAGATATCTGCAATTTGGTCATCACTTTTGCAAAACACCAAATCAATAACACCATCCTTACATAAATCATGCAGGGCTTTTTGACAGCTTTATTGTAGAGAGATTATCATAGTAAATCACAGTTGGACCTTGATTGATGGAGAAATAAATCTAACTCGTGGATGGAGCATGAATTTTGGGCAGCCATGGATGACAATAAGCGAATAGTGTCAAGCTTTACTACTGGAGCAAACACTTCTTTGTAATCCATACCGAATTTTTGCTTGTACCCCTTTGCAATGAGTTGAGCTTTGTACTTGTCAACTCCACCATTCTTGTTTAACTTTGTTTTATAAACCCATTTAACACCAATGAATTTCTGTCCTGTTGGAAGTTCGACCAGCTTCCAGCTATCATTTTTCTCTATAGATCCAATCTCCTCATTCATGGCCTTTTGCCACTTTGAATCATTGACAGTTCTTGGAATGTACTGGGATCACAGTCTGATAGAAAAGCATAATGGGCAAATGTAGTATTGTTATTGGATTGAACACCCGTTATCTCATAATCTTGCATCCATATAGGTCTCTTTCTAAACACGACATTGGTACATCAGTACCTTCTGCTGCCGTTGGTGAAGTTTCAGCAATTGTTGGAGCTGCATTTGGACTTTCAGGTATAAAAATTGAAGAAATTTCTTGTTGTAAAGGTTGCTGCCTTTCTTCTTTAGCATCACTGTCAAAAAAAAACTTGAGAGGGCTGCTGCTCATTCCAATTCCAGGTGCTCTACTCATCAAAAATAACACCTTTGCTGGTCACAAACTTATTTGTGAGTGGATTGAACAATTTATATGCTTTGGATGCTTCACTTATACCAAGGACACATTTTTCACTCTGATCAGCAGCTTCTTCCTTTTCTCATCTGGGATATGTGCATAGGCGATGCAACCAAAAAATTTGAAGTGAGCTATAGCTGGTTTTCGCCCACTCCAAGCCTCCTCTGGTGTCATGTTTTTCACAGAAAAAGTAGGGCTTCTGTTCAATGCATGAATGCTCCATTTCATTGCCTCCGGCTAAAAATTCTTTGGAATTCTTTCTTTTGCCAGCAGACTTCTTACCATGTTGAGGATAGTTCGGTTCTTCCTTTTCGATACACCATTTTGCTAAGGTGTGTAGGTTGTTGTCAATTGCCTCTTTATACCATGTTCATCACAGAATTTTGCAAATTCAAGTGATACTTCTCCCAGCTTCATTCTCCACTAAAGCTTTGAAACTTTTGAATGCTATAAAAGCTTCAGATTTCTCATGTAAGAAATAAACTCAAGTCTTTCAACAATAAAATATTTCTTTTTGCCATTGGATACTGGGACTACATATATCGGAATGGATCAACTCCAATGGTCTATGCGCTTTCCATACCTTTTTTTTTCTTTTTTTTTTTTGGAAAATTGCTCACGATGTTGTTTGTTAACCAAACATTCTTCACATATTTTGGAAGAATGAATAATTTGAGGTAGACCAGTCACTATATTCTTCTGTGAAAGAATTTTCAATCCATTGAAGTTCAGATGGCCATGGCAATAATGCTAAAGCATGTTGTATCATTTGTCTTTGTAATATGACAAATGTGGACATTCTTGATTCGCAACAGGAACAATCTATTTGATGCCATCTTCACATGAGTAATTGAACCCCTTTTAGGATCATAGATTTCACAGGCTCCTCCTTTGATTGTAGCCACACATTCCTTCTCTTGCAATCGTCCCACACTCAACAAATTGCTCTTAAGGTCAGAAATATAGAAGACATTTGAGATGGTTTCAATATTGTCTTCTTTAGTCCTATTTTGAACATCGCCCTTCCCAATAATATTTACTGTAGAATTATCACCAAAGTTACTGAAGTGCGAAAGTTTTCATTTAAAGAGAAAAATGACTTATTACCACACGTGATTGCTACACCCTGTGTCCAGGTATCATATGTATGGTTCGTGCTCATTCTCCTCGACATGGTTCGCCATCAAGAGTGTTTCTTGTTCCTCCTTTTTTTTTTGCATGGTTGACCTTCTACTCCCATTTTTTTTTCTTTATGAAGCTTTGCATATCATTGAGAATGAAAATGACCAAAACCATGACATGTGTAGTAGTCAGTCTTGGATTTGTCGAAGTACTGATCATGACCTCTTCCTCGACCTTGAGAGTGATCTTCATATCTGAAACTAAGTTGCTGTCTGCTTCCATCTCTATTTCCTCGACCTCCTCTTTCTCTTCCCCTATCTCTACCTCGAACCTCTTCCTCTTGAACTTGAGGATTTTGCTAAGGTTTGAAACTTTTAATGCTTGTTCTTCAATAGTAATGTTGTCGCTCTGATTCAACTTCTGCTCATGAACTAGCAAGGAACTTTGCAGCTCGTCATTTGAAAGTTTATCATTTTCATTTGACTCTTTGATGGAACAAACGACATAATCAAACTTTGGTGTCATTGAGCGTAGAATCTTCTCAACTATGTTGCAGTCAGTCATTTTATCACCATGCAACCTCATCTTGTTTGCAATAGTCCTCGTTCTTGAGAAGTAGTTATTCACTGACTCTCCCCACTTCATTTGGATGGTTTCAAAATCTCTGCGAAGTGCTTGAAGTTGAGAGCGGTTAACTTTCACTAAGCCATTGTATTTCTTCTTCATTGAATCCCAGATATCTTTGGAAGTGTTCTTCTAAATAATGGTCTCCGAAATGGTACAATCAATTGCCTGAAATAAATAATTTTTCACCTTCCATCAAGTTTTTTTTTTTTTGTTGTGCTTCTGTCAGAGGTACTTCTTCTCGTCAGCATAACCAGTTTCCACAAGTGCCAATACTCCTTGGACCTCAGAAATTCTCTATCAACATACTCCGATAGTCATATTGACTATCAAATCATAGAATCACAGGTTGCACATAGTTGTTGTTCTCTAACGCCATTTATCCTTGCTGCTGCAAGCAAGCTGTTCCCTTCCCCCCTCCTTGTTTTACCACAAGCCCAGTGGGGGTTCTGATACCAATTATAAAGTAAAATTACTTTGAAGACATTCACTGTTATAAAGTAAAGACGAAAGGAAAATAATTTTTGCTTCAATTTATTCAATAAACAAGGGCCTTTATATAGGCATTGCATCAACATAATGAAAGAAAAAGAGAGCAACAACCAACCCACTATCTTGAACACGTACTGAAACAATAATTAGATTCCTAAAAACCAGAACAAATGAAGCAAACTAAAAGACTCAACATAAAATAAATTAATAATATTGAAGACTTGGTCAAATGACCCATTGTACGAATATATGTTATCACAAACATGGAATGATGATGGACTTCTATACTGGGGTGACTCAAAATGGAGTCATTGTCTCCTTAAATGTCCCACCATTAAAAAATGTTTAGGTCAAAATTTACAATCTTCTCTTCCATTTCATTTCAAATTCCTATTAGATGATATTTACAAATGAAAAGATAATCCACTTGAAAATTAGAACCTTAGAAACACGACGTTTCGTGAAACTTTTAAGCTGTATTGCATAATGTTGGGAGGAGATTCACTGATTAGCTCAAGAAATCAACATAATATATGCGAAAATGTAAAAAAACCGAATTGAAATTAAGAGCAGTAAAATCGAACACAAAGCATAAACTGCAAGAATTAGAAACTATTATAATCGAACTCAATCTAATCTGAGAATACAGAACAATAAACTGTAAATAAACTCGAATACAAAATGAACTTACCTTTTATAGCAAGCCCACATGCCAAACTCCCTAAGTCAGTGCTTCAATCACACAAGAAAGAACACCACTATACTCGAATCAAACCCAAAAGTAAAGATACAAAAGGATGGCATTCAGACTCGACCGATTATTATACAAAATAGTAGATCTCTCTTCACAACTCACGGTTCACACAAGAACCATACCCTCAAACGATGAAATCACACAAAATTTACAAGCTATTGAGAGAAAATCAAAAATCAAATGAGAATATTTGATTTCAACAGAGAAGAGGATAACTCGAGAGAAACGGCGCACAGAGCAGAGAGAAATAGAAGAGTCTCGAAGAAGTGTGTATCTCAAACCCTAGAAGCTCGTTTTTATACGAGTCGCCTAAGGTCACCAATCCAACGGTGTTAGCGGTGACATTTGGTGACATCATTAGCATCCAAATTAGATAGG